TATCTATCTATCTATCTATCTATCTATCTATCTATCTATCTATCTATCTATCTATCTAAACATGGGGAAAAAGCACATGTTTAGCTTAATCTTTTAACTTTTCTAAACATTTTCTTAGTCAGTGATACACTCATGCTCTTTCAGCCACATTGACAGATTTTCTTTTTCTGATACAGGATTTATTGTTTTTTTTTTTTTTCAAATGCAGTGAAAATATCTATATCAAATACTATACTTTTTAGATAAATATACAGCAGAGAGCAGCAGAATTGGAAAAAAAAAGTGCAAAACCGGATTATCCATCTGAAACTTCACTGAGTATAATTTCTGAAACTGGATGGACTGGACAAATCCCATAAGAACTTTGTGACAAAAAAGGTCAAGGAATTCACCTAAATGTAAATCATAGTAAAAACCATTTGCTACCCAGAAATGATTCATTTTATTCTTTGAAACACAAAAGGAAGTCTGCAGTCTGGAAACTCAAACACCTGCTTACATACCTACGGTACTTACATTTTTCCATACTTACTGACTTCTGAATCTCCCTAATTTGTAGAATTTTTTTTTTTATTAGCAAATGCTAAGTGTGTGTATGAATGAGTAATAACTTTACTAAACAAAACAATTAAAAAGTTTTGGCTGGGGATCATTCTTCAGAAGTGTTCCTTTAATCACCCTCTTGTGCTTTAAAGCTTGTGTGCTGCTCAACATTCACCAACAGAACCATATGTATATCACAGTTAGTGAGCCATACTCACTCTGGCATTTCTCGTCATGCCTTTGTAGTTGCTAGCCAGCCGCTGAGAATAGAATCTTGACTGGTGAGAATAGAATCTTGACTGGTGAGAATAGCGACTCAACCCGTTAAAATGGAGTGTCACTGGAGACTCCAGTGTGTTCATGTTTGCAGCCTTCTGTGGAAATACATTATAGTTGAGCTAAATTACTGGCAAAGAGGCAACTAGAGTATAGTCATTGAAAAAAAAACCTGTTCAGGATGCAAAGACAAATATAGAGCACTCCTTGTATTAGTGTTCTTCTTACCTGGACTTATCAGTTTGGATGGATGGCCATGTTTAGGTTTTAGATGGTTTTAGATCATTACTGTTTAAACTTTACCTTTAATAACATAAAGTTACCTAATTTTTAAAGTGCAATCAGTAATACTTTTA